TATGCAGGGGACATGCTGACAGAATGTGAAGATGAAGAGGGCTTCTGGGTGGCCTTGGGTTTTGTTAAGCATCCGACTTCGGCTCAGGTCATGATCTCACAGTTCGTGTCTGAGTTCTCGCTGTCAGCCTCTCCCCGTGCATGGACGCTGCCTGTATTCTGGAGCCTGTTGATTGTGTCTCCCCTTCTTCTGCTCCCTTCCTTACCACACTCCATAGTTCTCTCCTCAAAAAAAAATAAAAAATTAAAAAAAAATGTGAAGATGAGTAGTTGGGAGACAAACTGGGCAGAGAGAGACAGAGTGAGAGTGGGGAAGACAGACAAAAGGACAGACAGATGGAAGAGACCGCAGGCCACAGAAATGGAGATGGAGAAGGTAAATGAGTGAATGAATGAGTGAACAAATGAATGACACGATGGGGGAAGGTGTGGAGAAAAAAGAAAAAAGCTAGAGAAACCCAGTGAGACCCGAACAGGCAGGGTACAGCAGAGAGAGGAGAGGTGAGCTACTCCCCTCAGCCTTGCCAGGATGTTATTAGTCAGCATCATTGGGTTCCTTCCTCAGTTTCTCTCCTCAGGGTTTACAGGGTCAGTAGAACCCGGGACTGGCACCCCTGCTTGGTCTGGCTGGCTCTCTCCTTTGGGCAGGGGACCTGTGCTGTAACTCTTTCCCCCACTGCTTCCTCTCGGGCTGAGGTCCACCCCACCTTTGACAGAAAGGCTCTCCCTGGCCCGCAGGCCCCAGAGGCAGTTTCTGCACACCCTTCACTGGAGGAAGGCCCGAGATCCTCTCTTCCTCCTTCCTGGACTGAGGGATCACAGCCTCTGCCAGCCTGAGTCCTGGGCCAGAGGGTCTGGGTGGACAGGCAAGGTTACCCATTCAGCAGGCCAGCCCCGGACCGCCTCTTTGAGAGGGGAGAAAGTCAGAAAAACCAGAAGACAGCTGTATGGGCTGAGGGGATCAGGGGCTTCCTGCCCCTCCATGGAGATTCTGCTCGTGCCCAGAAGAGAGTTAGCTTGTGCTCTGGTATTTCCACTCTCAGGGAACCACAGGGGAAGGGGCCCAGAGAGCTGGAGGGAAAATCGAGTGGGAGGCGGCCAGGGCTACTGAATTCCCCTTGGGTCCTAGGAGAGAAGGATGGGTTCCTTCCTCCCCCCACCCCACCCCATCTGTCCCCCCCACAAGCAATCCTGACTCACCTTCCTGCCCCCCCCCCCCCCCCCCCCCCCCCAAGGCCAGCCTCGGATCTCTCTCCAGAGTTCCAGCCCTGAGGAGAGACACTCCAAACCAAAGGGCCCCAGTCCCCACCATGGGCCCCTCCCTTGGCCTGGCTCTGGGGACCAAAGCCCCCCTGCTTCCCCAACCATTGCGCCAGATGTGGCTGCTGGGGAGCGGAGAGCACAGGCCTCAGCTGGCAATGGTCACTCGGTGGTCCTCTCCCTGCAGAGTCAGCAAGTTCCGTGCCAGCTCGCCAGGCCTCCTCGTTCAGCACTTCCTTCAGCCCCCTTTCCAGAGGCAGCGCCATGTAGTTCGTGGTCCAAGGCTGGCTGGGCTGGGCCTTCTGTTCCCGATTCAACACAAATCCCATCAATGCCCTTTCCTGAGCTGCCCGCCCAGGTGCCAGGGCCTGGGCTCAGCAGTCAGATATCGAAGGGAGGAGGGGGAGACCAGGCCCTGCCCTGTGTGGGACACATCCCTACCCCCCAATCACAGAAACATTCGGACCCACAATGGGCCTCCTCGCCTCTACAAAGCAGTGAGGCGTCCCACACTCGGTCCCTTCTCTGTTCCCCTCTGCTGGTCAGGACTGACACTCTCTCACTCCTGCATGGATTTTCCAGAACCTGGACTTCCATCACAGGATCACGGGACACTAACTGCTCCATGAGAGAGCCCCAGCCACAGAGCAGCCCAACCCAGATCCAAGAGCATAGTAAGTGCTTAGCGAAATCATGCGCTCTCAACAAGCTTCCAGCCCTGCATCGCCAGCCCTCCGAGGTCCCTTGAGACTGGTTCCTAGTGCCAGGGACTGGTAACACGTCTCAACCGTATGGCTAGATCTTAAAAATGTGGGTGTGAATCCCAGCCTGTAAGGACAGGACCTAGACAGGAGCCCCCACCCCACCCCCTCAGGTCCAGACAGCTCAGCCCAGCCCAGCCTGGTGACTCAAGGCCTTCCCTGGAGCCAAGCTCTGCACCCTCTACAGCCCGCCCAGGTCTCTCTCAGACGGCCACTCTGAAAGTTGCAGTCGAAGGATGCCAGGACACCTCCAGCTACTGAGGCAAGGCCTGGCCCTGGGGCTGGAGAGGGGAAGCCAGGCAGGCTCCCCTGGGCTCCCAGAGCTGCAGGAGATCCAGACAGGAAGGGAGAAGGAGGCTGAGGAAGGGAGTGGAGAGGAGGGAAGAAGAGGGGTGGCACTCAGCCCCAAACTAGGAAGGATGCTGAAGACAGATAAAAACAGGAAAGGGACAGAGAAAATGGGGGGAGGGGGAACACCCTCGGGAGGTGCCGAAGGAAGAAAATGGTGGCCGCGTGCCTGGCACTGTGCCTGGGGGACTTTTCATAATGTCATTTCATCCTACCAAATCGACCACAAGAAAGGTATTGTCACCCCCAAGAGACAGATGAAGGCTGAAGCTCTGAGTTTAACAGGCTTCTCCAGGGAATGGCCGAGGGCCAGGCCAGGTCCCCAGCAGGGTCACCCTAGGGACCCCAGCTCTCTGGTCTCTGCAGAGATGGCCAGCAGGGCCACAGCCCTGGCCCGGAGGACCTACGCAGAGGCCCAAGCTATGTTCCGAGCGGGGTTTATTCCAACAGAGCCTAACAGGAAACTTGGCTCCTCTGACTCACTCTGATCCGACCTTATTAAGAAAAAAAGGATCAGGAGCCAGCACTGGGTAGGGTTTCACGCCAAGAGCTGGCTCCGAGGCAGGGGCCAGCCGAGCACGATAGCCTGTGCCCTGATCTCCCCACAGCCCCCAAACGCCTGAGGCAGCCCCTGCACGCTGCCTGGCTCTAGAAGAGGGGTCCTGCCTTCTCCACTCTTGGCTAGTGGGGCTCCCCTACCTCACAGCCATCCTCTGTCCACCCTCCATCCTTTCCCTTCCCTTCCCCTCCCTGACTGGGGGTACCCTGAGGCCTGTTTCCACTTCTCCTTCTCCTCCTCCTCTCCTGGCTCTGCTGCCCTTCTGGCTGGCGGGAGGGCCCTACAGGACCCCAGGGATTCCAAGCAGCTGGGGCCAGCACTGCAGGGGGCAGGCAGGAGGCAGGAAAGGCTTAACCCTCCAGGTCCCGGCCCCCAGTGAGCCTGGCTCGGCATCGGCATCAGACTCGGTCCTGTCTGGAGTATGAAGCCTAACCCCACGCAGGGTTGCTGAGGGGCCCATGTCCATCGGTTGCTGGCTGGATCAGGAGGGTAAACAGATGCCAGAAGTCACCTGAATCAAGCCCCACTCCGAGGCACAGCACAATGGGTGAATGAATGCTGGGGGCCAGGGCTCCAGGGCCCCCCCAGGAATGTCTACACTGGCCATCTTCCCCCAGGGGGGCTCCAGGAGTTTCCAAAGTAGAGGAGGATCTGCAGGGGCCAAGTTAAGGGCAAGTTCTTCCTAGGTGGTGTATAGGCACAGGAGGGAAATTTCTGCCCTTCAGTTCAGGAGCAAAGTTGGAGAAGGCAGCCCAGAGGAGGCTTGCAGAGGGTGACTTCTTGGATGCTAAGACCTTCAAACTTCTGGAACCTCCCAGCTCTGCTGTCCTCAGAGAGGACAGAGAAACTCCCAAAGCACTCTTGAGGACCATCTCGTCTCATTCTCCAGGGATCAGATGTGACAACTGGATCAGAACGGAGAAGAGAGAGGTTTGCCCAAGATGACCCAGCAACTTAATCACAGCAACAGGACCGGGCCTAGTTCCCCTGAATCCCTCTTTCTGCTTTTCTATGCTGACAGCACTTAAGGCCTCCTATCTCATGTCAAAGATAGCCCCTGGGTCTCGTTTTTAGCAACGTGCACACTCAGGTTATTGCCAGGCTATGTTGACTCAAAAGACACAGAACCGAAACTTCGAGTGAGGTGATGCGTGGGAAGCTGACCTCTCCCAGGATTTCACAAGTTCTGCTCACCACAAGGCCATGCCCCCATTCTATAGACTGGGCGAGTAAGGCCCAAGAAGGAAAAAGCTAAAGCTCCAGCCCCTTTGTACTCAGCCCAAGGAACTGAGGTGCACCTGGGGTCCAAAATTCAGCATGTCCCCAAATAGCCCACCAACAAGGAGGGGGTCTCTTAGCACTGACTTAGGAGAAAGGGAGCTCTGGAGGTCCTGGGGAGAGGCTGGAGTGGACAGGAGTCAGGGGCTCAAGCCCAAAGAGACCAGAGATGCTGGGTCCAAAGCAGGGAGAAATGGCCATAGTGGTAGAGACACCCCAGCCTTGCTCCGCCTGCCAGGGCCCCACTTACAGACACACACCCCCAGAGGCTCCTTTCTACTCCCTGCTCCATTCCCTTCCTCAGAGGCAGGTCTGTGGCTTGGCTAGGAGCTCCAGGGACTGAGGGAGCACAGCAGCTGTGGGACAGGCAACATAGCTAAAAGCCGGCGGGCCATAGGGCCCCGCGGAGGAGGCCCCAGCAGGCGGACCAGGCTGCCCGAAACCTCCCAACGCTCCCAGCCTGTTGCTTATTCATTCAGAGTGGGAAAGCGCCAGCCCAGCGGCCAGCCAGTACCGGGCTGGCCATGTAAGGCCCCCAGGCAGTCCTGCCTGTCCGGTGCCCTGCAGAGAGCCTCGTGCAGCCCTGGGCACCGCCCCTGCCCTGCCCTGACCCCTTGGCCTCGAAATGCTGTCATCGGAGGAGCCGTCCCGCTCGGGACAAGGCCAGGATGGACAAAGCTAGAGCTGGGGCAGGCAAGGAGCCGTCCTGTCCTCGAGGCCGTGGGAAGAGAAGCACGTACAGGAGTACACTCCTGAGAGCCTCTCGGTCCACCAGGCCTCTGCAGAGGGGCCACCATGGCTGTAGCCCGAGCATGCTGGCAGCTGGGGGCCCTGGTGTGGGGCGCCTGCCTCTGCGTCCTGGTGCACGGGCAGGAGGCGCGGCAGGGGCAGGGCTCGGACCCGGGGCGCTGGCGGCAGCTGATTCAGTGGGAGAACAACGGGCAGGTGTACAGCCTGCTCAACTCCGGCTCAGAGTACGTGCCGGCCGGGCCCCAGCGCACCGACAGTAGCTCCCGGGTGCTGCTAGCCGGCGCACCCCAGGCCCCGCAGCGGCGCAGCCAAGGAGGCCCCCGGCGTCGGCAAGCCCCGTCGCTGCCCCTGCCAGGGCGCGTCGGCTCGGACACCGTGCGCGGCCAGGCGCGGCACCCGTTCGGCTTCGGCCAGGTGCCCGACAACTGGCGCGAGGTGGCCGTCGGGGACAGCACTGGCATGGCCCGGGTCCGCACCTCCGTCTCCCAGCAACGACACGGGGGCTCCGCCTCCTCGGTCTCGGCCTCGGCCTTCGCCACCACCTACCGCCAGCCGCCCTCCTTCCCTCAGCAGTTCCCCTACCCGCAGGCGCCCTTCGTCAGCCAGTACGAGACCTACGACCCCGCGTCGCGGACCTACGACCAGGGCTACGTGTACTACCGCGGCGGCGGCGGCGGTGGCGCGGGGGCGGCGGCCGTGGCCTCGGCGGGGGGGCCCATTCATCTTCCTCCAGCCGGCAGCGCTACGAGGAGTAGCAGTGAGGCGAGGAGCAGCTCCTGCCCGCCGCAGGCCTTCTCTACCTGGCCCCCCGAGGAGGCCCTCACGCGCTCCTGCTGCTGCCGCTGCTGCCGCCCGCCGGATCGGCCTGATCAAGCCGGGCACTGCACAGCTCAGGCACGAGGGCCGTCGGCTTGAGCAGTCTCACCTTCGACCTGGGCCCTCGACGCGCTGCTCAGCTGGCGGCGGTGCCTGCTGCCGACCCTGCCCGGCTGGCAATCTCGCTCCCACGCCAACGTGCCGCCTGAGGCCTACGTCCTGCCAGGCTGTGGAGCCGCAGCCCCTGTTCTGCGTGCTGGGAGCCGCCCCACCTGGGCCGGTGCGTAGCTCCGCCCCCCGCCCGGTGGGAGTTGGCGCGCAGCAGGGCTGCCTCAGCGTGGGCAGTGCAAATGGCCCAACCAGAACCAAACGGCCTGCGGTGAGTACTGTTCCGCGCCCTGGCCGCCCACCCCTCCGGGGGGGTATCAATGATCGGCTCCACGGTCAGCGGGCCGGCTTGAACTGTTCCAGGCCCCTGAGCTAAGAAAGGAATTCCACAGCCACTCAAAAGGCCCTCACCTCCCAACCTTCCGTCCCCACTGCCAGGGCAGCATTTGATCAGGGAGGCCTGGGCTCTGACCCCTGGCTGGGGGGGCTGGGAGGCCAGGTTTTGGGAGGAGGCACCTTCCAGACTGGTTTGGTCATCTGGGGATTGGGGTGGGAAGGGAGCCCTTCTCCTGGCCCTCCTATTTCAATCAGGGCACCCTGGAGATGCCCCTGAGCCAGCCACACAGGTGAACAGGAACATCAACATTGTGAAAAACTAGGTCAGTAGGGTCCTAGGGGATGCCCCTGGACGTAGGGCAAGGTCCCAGGCACAGCATTCAGGCCAGCCTGGTTGAGCAGGAGGTTAGGGAGGAAGCCCTTCCCCTAGGCAAGAGTCCAGACTAGATGACAGGAGTTCTTCTGAGGGACACGTCAGCCAGACTAGAGAGGTAGTGAGGCATTGGCCTGGTTGCAAAATTTAAGAGGATGTCAAAAAACTCAGTAATCAAGAAAAGTAATATTTTAATGGCATTTTTAGATCAACAATACGCAATATTGGGAAAAAACCCAGATAAGCCATGGCGCAGAAATGGTTAAGCTGCCCCGACTTCAGCCAATGCCACTATCTCAGAGTTCAGCCTCGGCCGGGTTTCCGGGTTGATGGCTCAGAGCCTGAGCCCAGCTTCCCATTCTCAGGTCTCCTCCTCTCTGCCCTCCCTCCATGCTCTGTCTCTCTGTCCCAAAAAAATAAATAAACGTTGAAAAAAAAAAAAAAAAAAAAACCTGTGATGAACAAAATATCCAGCCTTTAAGTAGAGTTAGTGGTGCCATGCTAAGCCCTATTGGAGCCTGAGGCAAACTGAAAGCTCAGAAATACTGATCCCGTCTTTATTTAAACTTTTGATATTTTGTTCATCACAGATGTTTTGGCACTAGCTTTGGTTTTTAAAAGTATTGCCTCAAATACTACTCATCTTGGTTCCTGAGTGTTTTGGCGCCCAGGCCAGTGTCTCACTCGTTTCGCTCGGCTCACTCTAGTCCTGGGCGTGGGGGAGACTCCTGGGAGGGAGCTGCCGACAGGCCTCCCTTTTGGCATCTTTTGGGGGGAGAGGGGACGTGAAGACAGGACCTAGTCTAGGGAAGGCCCAAGCCGTCTGTACGTGAGAACACAGCGAAGGGGCAGATTTCCTTCTTCAGAGGGACAACTCCACACATGCTCTTAGCAGGCAGGCTACTGTGGTGAGGGCCCACTTGTGGTCTGGCCAAGGTTAGCTGACTGTTGGCCCATCTTCTGCTGTCCTAGAATTCCCCCTTTCCGCCTCTGTAGCTGCCAGTCCAAAGTCAGCTTTGGTCAAGGTTTTCCATGCAGTCCCCTGTGTGTCCACATCGCAACCCTGGCCTGCCTCCTTGAGGCGGCAGTCGGTGCCCCGATTCTCTGCTCGGCGCTGAGGTCGCTGCGTGGGACTCACCAGGGGAGGGCTGAGCCCTGCAGGGCCCAGGGGCACAGGTACACCGCCCACCCCCCTCCGCCAGCCTTTGCTACTCTGGCTCTGTCAGCACTGGGACTGCTGTCTTGTCTCCAGCCACACTGACCTGGGTGAGAGGCTGCCTCTTGGGGGTGGAGGTAAGGTTTCTGTCTCCCTAGGGGCAGCTGGAGCCCAAGGCTAGGGGTGAGGAAGGTCCACACTGGTAGCACCCACTCCTTCACATCCCTGGCATAGCACTCAAGTTGGGTGCTGAATCCCACTTCGAGAACCTGCAGGAGCTCAGGACAGGAGCCGGGGGCGGCGGGGGACTTCTGTGATGACGAACGTCCTCCTGCCCAGCGTAGCCTCACACACAGCTGGTCCTCACCAGGACCATCCTGCAGCAGGGTGCTTCATAGTTGTGCCTCATTTGCTCCTAGAGCTCCTTGGAGGAGAGGTCATCCCATCTAGAGGGAGCTAAGCTTTCACCGGTGGCTCTTCTTAGAATACACAACCTCAGAGTGGGGCTCAGCCAGAAGTGCCCCACTTTCTGGGCAGGGGAGAAAACTGAGACCTCAGATGCCATAGAACTGCTGGCAGAGTCAGGCCTGGGACTCCAAGCCAGTGTGTTTTCTAGGGCCCCCTCTTTGGCCCGACAGTTCTTAAAGTTCAGAGGCCACCGGCCAGGGCAAGGCCAAGTCTGGACTGGGGGTGCTTGGCGCTTATCAGGGCCTCTGGTCTTGCTCTTGAGCCCCACAGTTCATTTGGGGTTAAAGACATTTCCCCCTGAAGGTAGACTACCAGGCGCCCAGTGTGCTGGTATGCATCCAATCCAGGCCGTGCTCTGGGGGAGGCATAGCATAGGGGACACATCAGTGCTATGGTTGGGCAGGCATTAGAGGAATGAGCTAGGGGGGGCCCACACAAGGGGCCTCCCCAGTTAGGGGCTGGGGGCTCAGAGAGGACTTCCCGGAGGAGGAGGTACCCATGCATTGCTGCAAGCGATGGCCATCAGCATCCTCCAGGTGCTCCTTCCCCTAGTCATGGAGGGGATGGTGGGAGGGAGTTGGGGGGAAGGAGGGTACAGGCTAGTTTGGGGCTCACTGAGAAGCCAAAGAGGGAACAGTACCTTCTCCCCGATCATTGGTTCCCCCTCCCCACCCTGCTAGGCCCAGACCATGGAAAATCCCAGTTAAGAGAAGGCCAAGCCTTGTGCTTGAGATCAGACCCCCAGGCCCGGTGTGGGAGTCCAGGGCAGATTCTCCGGGACTGACCTCATTCCTCCTGGCCACACACCCAGGGGTCTGAGGCTAGGTGCTGGCAGCTTGTGTGTGTGTGGGCGTGGATGTGTCCTCACAACACCAAACACATGTGCGCACCGCCCACGTCCCTCCATGTTTGGGCAGTTTCCAAGTGCCTGTCCAGAGCCCGGTTTATTCCTCTGGCGCCTTCACCCTCTTCCCTCCCACCCAGGGCTGGGGCTGCCCAGGCCTCCTGCAATACCATTGTCTCTGACTCTGAAACTTGCAACTGGAGAGAAAACCAGGAAACAGAGGCCCAGAGAGGGTCACATACTTCGCCTGGCTCTCGGCAAATCCACGCAGAGGCCTGGAGGGTGACTGGTGGATTCCCGGGCCCAGCTGTGGCCCCTGCCTTTCCCTTCACCGTGGCCAGGCCCTCCTCTCCCAGCCCCTCTTCTCTGCTCCTGCCTCCCCATAGCCTCAGCTTTTCTGAGCTGGTGGTCTTTGGGCTAAGCTGACTCCTGGTCCCAGAAAACCACAACTCTTCTCACAGGGCTCCTCCCCTTTCCAGCCCCGGCCTCATTCCCCGGCCCTGGCAACCCTGTGAAAGCAACATGGAGCCGCCTCCCTGGCCATTCTCCCGGGGCATCGCTGATGGCTGTGCCAGCCTTGCCTGGCGCCGTCCTCCGTCCCTGTCCTTGCATGGCCAATCAGAGCCCAGGAGGAAGCTGGGGCTGCTCTCAGCCTGTCCCTGGCCAGTCCCTCGACATGTGGGGCGGATAAATCCTTGCAGTGTTGACCGTATTATTCTCCCGCTCGAGAGAGTTTTATAACTCCCGGAGGCCTTCAGGATAAAACTTAAATGCCTCAGCCTATTGCTCTAGAACCAGAGGCATCTCTTTCCTTTTCTCCTCCCTGTCTCACGCCCCCACAGTCCCATGGGAACTGGGCTGCTCCTCAACCTGGATGTTTCACCTCTCTGCACATCCAGGGATGTTCCTAGGGCACTCCCCTCTCCATCTAGCGTCCTGCACTCAGGAAGCCAGACGGGGCCCCTTAGTCCCTGAGAGCAGCCCCAATGCCTGGCCCAGCCCCTACCCCCTCCCACGCCCCCCAGGCCACCTCCCGATCTCCAGGTCACCTCCCTACTTCCACAGGGCTTGGAGTAAATGCAGGGAAGGACAGAAGCAGACCTCTACCCAGAAAGTGTCCAGAGTTGAGGCCCCAAGGCAGGGAAGATAATAACAACCCAGCCATTTGCTGAAGGGTACCCGCTGAGCTGGGTGGCTTAAATGTGCAATTTCATTCATTCTCACAGCCTCCTGGAAAGGTAGAGGTTATGCTCCTCTGGCACAGATGAGAAAACTGAGACCTAGGGAGGTCTCACAGCTGTGCCGCTGAGCCAGAATTCAAACCGAGCCCGTCATCTCTGCCTTGCACGGAGATGACCCCAGGAGGACCCACACTCCACCTACGAGTGGGGTGTGGGGGTGGGGTGGGGGGCAGGGAGAGAGCCTGGGCCTCCTCCACCAGCTCTCTGGGCCTCAGTTCCTCCAACTGCAACCCGGGGACAGAGAATGGCACTAGCGTTTGTGGGCACTTTGCACATCACCCTTCTTCATTCCCGCAGCAGCCCCACCAGCCAGCTACTGCTCTTTGCCCCGTCTCATAGATAAGGTGACAGGCTCATTTGCTGATGATCACACGACCTCTTAGTAGTGAAACCGGGATGGCGGTCCCATCCTGGGTTCTTAACGGCCATACGTAATTTTTTACAATGTTATGTATTCTTGCTTATCCCGCACTCCTCATTTATCCACTCATTCATTTGGTACTTCAACAGAGATTTGACTGTCTGCTGTGTTCCAGGCACTGTGGTGACAGGGTGAGATGGGACAGTGGATCTGCAAGGCCCTGGACGCAAAGAGTCCCTTCTCGGCGTGGTGTCCACAAAGCCTTGCAATTCTCACTGCAGATTCCAGGGCATTTATTTCACAAGCACTTCTGTCTTGCTCACTAAGTGTCTTATACTCTTCCTGGAGCTTCAGGATTAGAGGCACTGAATGAATCCTCAGGACAACCCTGGGTATCATTCATCCCCATTTTGTAGATGAGTAAACTGAGGCCCTCAGAGGTTAAGTGACTTGTCCAAGGTCACATCACTGGTGACCGGTAGAGCCGGAATC